CGCTCCAATTTTACAATAAATCTAAATTTGAACCTTAAATTTAATTCTAGCCAAATTTAATATTGCTACTTTAATGCAATTATCATCATTGATCTTTGAAATGGAAAATCCAATTTAGGGCACAATAAGCATTTTGAAAATTTATACATATATGAATAATAATAACCTATAAAAACATGCGACATAAAATCATTTTTATTCATTTTTGAATTAAAGCTTACAGTACTTATTTCAGTATAACGAATAAGTTTGCTTTTTTTTTTTTTTTTGTTGTCATATAATTTGTACGTACGTACGCACGCTCTAAAAGAAATTAAATTAGAAAAGGACGAATATTGATATAAAAATAGGTGTTTCGTCACACAATTCCAAACTAATTCGACTTATGCATTAAATAATAGACATTCTAGTAAGAAATAGTCCCATAGTAATGTCGACGCACGAAGTACAAACTAATTAAGATTTGTACTCAAATGATAAGCAAACCTCATTAAGGCATAGTATTATCTGAACACAATGCGCAAAATCTAATTTGTTCACTGATAGCTACACAAATTCTGTACTTACTTATGTACGTACGTACGTACGTACGTTCTAATGAGAATTCCGTCTTAGATAATATTGTGAACAAGTTATAGTTAGATTACTTATATTCAATTATTTTGCCGTTGCACGTATATACGTTTGATAAAATTATTTAGCCGTCGTAAATTCTATAATTGATAAGTTTGGTCGGAACAATTTTTATACGATCATACGGTTCCAGTCTTCATTATTTATGTACGTACTTGGAAGTCTAGAAATTTGAGTTTGAAATAAACAAATGCAGCGCCTCTTGTGTTTTCGATATAGTGATGATTCGATATGATATTTGTATTCCGGAATTATTCGGCAGCTTACTATGATAGTGCTTACAAATAACTTAAGTTATTTGGCAGTGATTACGTTATATGCTAAATAAGAATTTATTTGGCAGCTTACGTATTCACTACTAAGACTCGAGTCATTTAGCAAGCACAATCGTCGTAAACTACCGAATAACACTATTATTGTATGTTACTCAGCCAGATAATGAATTATTTTACTTCGCATCCAATAATTTTATATTATTAACCTTAACTCAAAATAGCGAAGTTCAATATATGATTATTCTGTCGATATAAGATATTATGAAAATTTCTTTCTCGGCCTGATGACTTAATATAACGGGATTGATTAATATATAAAATATTATAAAAAAAGAAAATATATACAAAAATGTGCATTACTTTTTTTTTTGATTATTATTATTATAAGTAATTAAATTTTTTTTAGATTAAATAGATAATAGAAAAGTAAATATTGAAATTTTTGGCATTCCCCAAATATATAGCTATAATTTCATGTTATAACCACTAACTTAAGCGTGTAAGAATTTGAAGATTATTTGATGTGTGCATATATTCAAACAATGTCCCTAGATAATATACCTCCAGTTAGGATGACTATCACACACCAATTCATCAAACTTCGGTTCATCTTCCACTAATTTCATAGCTATTTCTCTAAGCTTCTTTCTATTTTTCATCAAATCACTATCATATTTATAATTATGTTTTGCTAATACTTCCAAATCACGTTTCTTATTTAAATATTCCAAATAAAATTTCATTCCAATAACTAAAATACATTGCACGAGCACAGCGGACATGCATATGAAATTTCCCATAATAAATTGCGGAGCATCCGTAGGTGGGAAAAGTTGAACTCCAATGACTCCTCCAGTATTAGCAAGGGTTAATATTATTGCAAGCGATACGTTACGCTTATATTGACCAACTGATTTAAAAATTTTAAGATAAAGGTTAATTAACAAATATTAAAAATACTAACATTACAAATATTAAATATATTAAACGTTCATACTAACCAATATTACAAGAGGACCAACTGAAAATTACTGGTAACACAGAGTACGCCCCACTTGCCAAAAGAAACGTGAAAAAATATCTTAAATTGTATAAACTAGGATTTTTAGCATCAGTTGCTAGAAGTCCTATTAATCCTATGATAGATATTACGTGTGAGATCATTAAGTTCAAGGCTCTCGTCTGGTATCTATCTGATGACCAAGCATTAAGGGTCATCCAGACAGTTGCAACAAGAAGTGGTGGTACAACCATTAATTGAGCTTGTATATTAGAATATCCAAGTTGTTTAACTAAAATTGGTAGGCAGAAATTAAGAGCGTTGAATGGGATTGAAGCAAGCAATAGCATTATTAGGTAAACGTAAACTTTAAAATCAGCAAATGCGAGTTTAATCTGAGCTTTGGCGGTGTTACGATCAATTTCAGCAGGACCTCCCTCTGATTTTAGACGATCAACAGCGAATTTACGTTCCTCAGGTGTGAAAAAACGAGCATCTGCGGGACCACCACGAGTCATAAATAAAGCAACAACTATAGCTGTAATGACAGTTGGTATGGCCTCAATTATAAATAGCCATTGGAACCCATGTAATGGTGAATTTGAAATTTGAACTATGAAGAATGCCTATACAAATTTAATAACTATTATTAATGAATTTTGAATTATTAAATTATTTAGTGTTTTATCTAATGTATTATCAATTTAATGTATTATTAATTATGATATAATTATGATAAAGATCATTTAAAAACTTACAATGACTCCATTAAGTGCGCCAGATAAGGTGATTAAGCCCATAAAGATAGAGTATCTGAAGGTTAATTCTCTTCTGGCATAAAATCGACCGACGTACTCTATTACAGATGGAGGAAATCCTCCTTCAGCCATTCCTATATTAATAAAATGAATAAATATTTTTTAATATGAATTAATTTTTATATAATATAATTAATCATTATATAATTATAATGCCAACCTAATAAAAATCTCACTATAAATAATTGATACACGTTTGTAACTGCAGCTTGACACGCAGCAGCAATCGCCCAACAAACCATTATTATTGGCAACCAAACTTGAAATCCTAAAATTTTGGTTACTAAGCTTGCGGGGATTTCGAATATCATATAAGAGATGAAATACGTTGCTACGGCAAAATTGTAAAGTGTAGGTGTGGTATTCAAGTATTTGTAATCGAATCCCGCTATACCGGCATTTCCTACATTAGACCGATCGATTATACCCAAAAGGTATACCGTGGTCAGGACAGCTAATTAAGAAAAGTTTCTGTGTAAGTAAAATCAAAGTACAAGTCATAATATACATATTTAACAAAATTAGTGAATATCGAAACATACGTAGCATGTAAAAATCAGCTTTTCTGACAACTCTTTTCTCCAAAACTTTATCATAAGTTGCAGCTTCGTTTGAATCTTGGTCGTGTCGTTCTTCTGACATTTTTATTAATGAAGTTAATGTATTCCAAGGATCATGAAGGTTTTATATATACGTAAAATTATTTATTGCAAATAAATCCTAGTTTTAATCCTTTTTATGGCTTCTTGCATATCAAAAAAAGCACTAAACAAACAATTGAAATGATTAACAAGGATGATTATTCATTAATATATGAATATAATATTAATTTAGAAAAAAGTCTCGCATTGATTGAGGGGTCTATATGCAGATTAGGAAAATCTTACAAAAAAATCAATATAGGTTGTTTAACATGAAATTTTGTGTAAGTATACAAAATTATGTATTATATCAGTACATATATATAGATAATTGTGATGACATAATAAGTAAACGTATTACTAAAATCCTAATAATATAACAAATTAACTTAAAATTTATTCTATTAATCTAAATTTTAATGATTTAATGTTTATACTATACAGAGATCTAAATAACTTAATGTGTAGTAGCTATTAAATATAAAACCATTAAGATATCTAGATTTCTATAATATATTTGTCCATTTACCACATAAAAAAGGGAGTATTTGTATATAGACTTTTTATATTACTACAACATTTTTCAAATTTTGGTTCGTCAAAAACAACAGAGTAAAGTTCGAATTCAGGAATTTATTCAAATTTCTTGGTGAATACCACGTATGTAAGTACGTACGTACGTACATGTCAATTGGGAATTTTCATATGCGTAAATGTATGCGTGCATACGCAAATTTCGTATCTGATATGTGTACATGCATATGTTTTAACCCTTCTAACCAATATTCTAATACTAATTTGTGAGTTCCAGTTATCCCGAAAGTATGCTTATCCCGTGGTACTGTAAAATCTACATATTCAACTTGTGTTACCTAAAAAGATGCACCAATTATGTTAAAGAAATGAACATGTACGTGCGTACGTACATATATTAATTTATTTTTTTTTTGTTGATTAATATTTATCAGGAAATTATCGATATGTGCACATTTTAAATGAGTTACACAATAAATTAAAGTTAAGGACCACTATCCTATATCCAGTTTAGGATACACCACCTTGGTAAGAAAACAAACATATGTGTTAAAGTATGGCTTTTCGATTTATTGGTCAGATACACTCCCCACTATATGTACATGTAACACTTTAGTCGAAACACAGTACGTACGTACGTGAGTTCTTAACTTGAACATGAATCACCTGTTCTTTGAGTTGTTTCAACTAGATAAATAATTAAATATAGTGATAAAGATTTATTCTAGAATTTGTACTATTGTATATATGCAACAAACTTAATATTATTCTTTTAATCTTATTTGGTTAAGTTCAAAATCAAAGATAGTATTGTTCCTTAAATTTAAGTTCAACTATTCAAAAAAACGTAAAAATCCACAGCCGTTCGTTGAAAAAGTCTAAATTGGTTCAGACTTGGGGAAAATCTGCGCTACGGGTATCAACTAACACTAAACTACTCCAAATCAACACTAAACAACCAAACTCTATCCAACCCTAATGTTG